TGGACCTTGTGGTCCAATTTGTGCATGTATATCCCGTGTTTTTATACACGGATCCCCTTCACTGCCACGTGGACACGTTGACCTAATCCCCCTTTGACCTTCGTTGTGCTAGGTGCTGACTGGCCCCTTTTTCCCAGGCGAACACGTGTCTTTCAATCCCTCTGCCCCCCTCGAAATTATAGTCATCCGTCTTCACCGGCGATACTGATTCCCCCTCACCAGGTATGTACACCTTCCTCGCCTGCCCGGCTCTCTTCCTCGTTCTGGTCTTCATGTCATCTTTCTCCATGAAATGCTGATGCTGTTACCGTCCCTCTGCTCCTCGCACGGTTACACCGGGCACGTGCACAGACCGATCGCACTGCATTTTCTACACTTGCACACCGCCTCGCTTCCTTAATTGACTACTACGACATGGTGTCCCCAGGGCCACGCACTTCTCACGCCGACAGTTCACGCCGTCTTGATCACGAGCCGTAGACGACGGACTGTAACCGTCGCCCCGCGGACCACACAATACTCCCACCCCCTCCAGCCTTATTTCTATACCACCGTCCAACGTACTACACACGCCTTTTATCCAGATGCGCCACGTCCCCATCCCCCCTATAGAGCGCTACTACACCTACCCCCTCTATGTATCCCAACCCCCTTGCTCGTCCGGTTTTTCTGAGTGGTGCATACATGCTAAGCGGCCGGTCACCCTGCGCGTGTTTGGAGACGCGCCACTACCTCATTCACCCACCTATCCAACATTCCTAATACCTCCCCCACTTAGGACCGTTCAACGGGCTTCGGCGCTCTGACGTCTACACACACACACTACCCACCCACCGCACACCACACATACCGGACACCCGTGAGCACGTGAATCTTTGTGAGGTCTCTTCCGTTGTTGTTGTTGATGAGCGCACACGCTCTCTGTGTGTCTCTGTCTCTCTTATGTGTCATCCTGATTCGACTCTGCGTGCCCTGTCTGGTACCGCGTCACGATGTATGTCGCAGCCCGTGAACCGTCCGAATTCTGTGTGTACATTTCTTAAGGCACCCTTTGTGGTATATGTTTCTGTGTGCCCCAGCCCCCGCTCATTTGGACCTTCGTGTCTGAGCACACACACACACTCTACCGTCCGCACTATCTCTTGGCCATCCTTGGTTGATGGTATATCTGTGTTAGTTAGTATGATTTTGTTGGATCTCACTCCCTCGGTATTTATCATTGTATCAATCATCTTGCGTTGGTGTGAGTTGTTGTCCTCGGACTTCCCTCATGGTCTTAGTTGACCAGACTTCTTTCGTCTCGCTTGGATTGGGTGACCATCGGCTTAGCATAAATCTCTCGTGTGTTGCTTGAATCCTTGGTATCTTCTTATGTGTGCCGTAATACGCAGTGAACTCTGCTACCGAGTTGTCCTCACACGCTCTTCTGTGTCCTCATGCCTTCATCCCACCCCCCCCCGCTGCACTGTATATCTCTTATGCTCTTTTTTTCTTTCCACCTCTCGTTTTGACCCGCGTGAACTTTCAATACTGATGCCTATCCTTTTATTTTGCCTAGGCTTTAAGGAGCACGTGTCTCTTCTCTGTTGGCATTACACGACGGTCGTCCCCGCAGACCTACACAATCGAAGGTTCCCCATGTGTGGTCTTCAAGCGCCCCCCCGTGGTTCCACGTTGGCCAGGAAGATCCTTGTACATATATTGGACCCACGAACACGCATCACCCACCACAAAATTGTTAAATAATTAAAAGCTTATGCCTGATTTATAATGATGTTTTGTAAATATATGTCACTGATTACCTACTGTTGTATATTATTTTTAATAGGGTTTTAAAGGTGACAAAGGAGATCGTGGATCTATTGGAGACTTCGGTGAAGCAGTAAGTGAATTATTTGAAAAATAATTTATTTAAACCTGATTGTGAAATTAACTAGACATGTCTTATTACTATATAGCAATAAACTACATATGTGATAACAAAGCCGAAGTCACGTTTTCTTACGTAGAAACAGAAAAAGTGACCAAAACTCCAACAATTGCAATTTTCAAGTAGTTAGTGTTAGACGCTCAACGGAGTTCTATAGCCAAGGCTCAGTCCTTATGACATTTCTGCCTAACATACACTTGTAACACCTGTTACCCGAATCGGAACATAGGCCGCCGATTAGA